ATCTGATGTGCACCCAACTCCGTCACTTTCAACATCACACATCGTCCACTTTTAGCGTAGAAAATACGATCGTCTGTTGAATCCAGAGCCAATTTGAGTACTTGGGCTAAAGTCATGTCCACCGTCGATCCCCAGTTCTCTTGGAGCTGCAATGCAGGTCTTTTTTCACGTGCATTTTCATTAATGTTAAACGTCGTTAATGTGGGTGGCATACGCCGACAAAAACTATAATTAACCAGCCACTAAAGGGCGAGTTGGGATTGGGCATGACAACCGTGATCGGCTGCTGTCCCTCCCACAGCATTCTACGGCGCTAGAACGAACCTCCACAACGGTATCGGTTACTTTCTTTGACACATGCAACCATGTGGTCAAGCATGGCGATAGAACGTCGTACAATGGGAATTCATTCTTTCCAGTCATTTCCAGCGGTCGTGGCATCACAATTAGCGTATTTACTGCACCGATTTCAATCTAAATACGTATGATCTTTAAAAGCAATGATAGCCAACTCAAGGGTCCCTTCAGAGACTCTGAATACCTTCATTTTGTACATATGAAGAGCGTTTAAAGATGAAAGCGTTGAGGCTCCTTTCTCAGCTGGATCACGATTCACAGTTTCTGGGCTACAATTAAACAGTAAAATTGTAGATTGAAGGCTACCATAGGTGAAGGAACGATCCACGGTGGATCCGATAGGCGGAGAGAGACAGTCACTGCGCCTTTCTATAAAGCGTGTACCCTGTCTCCATTGTCTCAGAAAGAGGACGCAGTAATGAGAGCGCAAGGGCTGACTACTTCTGCCTATACATTCAGCCGGACTGTGCCTTGAAAACTGGGAAAAAAGGACATTACACGATAACGGTGAAGGAATTCTATCCTCTATGAAGCCTAATTCTTAATCATTCACAGGTTTGGCTAACGCCCACTCTTGTGCGCATCACACGATAGCCTTCAGTGAATCTCAGAACTTTTGGAAGATCGGACCCTATTGCGGCTGCCGAAGCCTATTCATTCCTCCGTTAACCTTCTCAGTTAGTTCTGGAAATACCGGAATAAAAACTTAAGCTTTACTCATTCTCTGGGATAGAATAGTAGGCGATATTTTCACACAATCTGCTGCCCTCCAATTCCTTATTACTCTACCAGAGTACTACCGTTCAGTGTCGATCGATATCAAATACAATTAGGCGACGCATGCCTTCCTATGCCCCTCTCTCTCAATACACAAGTGACCGATCGATTAGGTGTGGGGCTGCGCTTCCGTCTGTGGCACTAGAGCACTCTTGCAATTGCAGCGCGTCGACGCGCGTCATCGCGAGACCGGGACACTGCTTTACTGGAGCATCACAGGGCGTTTTTTAAGAGATCATGAAGCATGACTCACATCGTTTTCATTTGCGAGTCACGACGTTCTAGTGAAATTTCGACGTCTGGCACTTGGAAGTCGACGACTACCCGTGGTTCAATGTCTATCATACGTGCAGCTAGTGGTGATTTTTCCCATTCCACCTGGCATGACTGAGCTTTGCAAAATGCAAAAGGAACGCAGTATGTATACCCAGTAAAACGCTCACCGATGCCTTGAAATTCACTCGATTGCCGGCAAAGTCTGTTAACAGCCGTGGTGTGAAGTGCAGGAATTGTGCAGACAGTACCGATGAATTCAGATTGATCGTTACTCCTCCTTCAGTCTGTAAGACGAAAAACAAGGCTATTCCTGGAAATTCGGCCTCAAGGACATATTCCGCGATAGTGAATGATAACGTGCCTTGGTACGTCCCTCATCCTAATGCGGTGAAGAGGAGCAGCGGGCCAGTAAGAGGGGCACAATGTTTATGGGCTTCCACCCCTTCGACAATCACGGCATGTAACGTAACGGAATGTATGGGGGTAGATGGGCTCCCAGTGGAGCGCGCCAAACCGCTAGCTTCCTGTTATTTTTCGTGGTAGTTTCCCAACCGAAAGTTCTCAAGGCGATTTATTATCATCTCATTCAAAAATGAGGTTTTATGGAAATAAGAGGAAGATGGAGGCAGATAAAAAGTAATATTTCGGCTCAAAGCAGTCAAGCAGGTTTCTCTTCTTCAATGAGCCACTCTCAGTGCTCGGAGCGTTGAATTAGCTTGCGTCTTCGTTTTACTAACATGGCGAATGAAATGCTATTTGTGATGTTTTCTTGGATCAGCACGACTGAACCGAGGTCTCAGCATTTCTTCTTTCAGAGTATTGACAATAGAGCGATTTTTTGGGGACTGACAATGTTGCGAGCGATGAGGGCCTACTTATAATCGTGTGACACCGGCCTTTTGTCGATATGGCTCCTGAGGGACTGGGAATGTACACCTGCAAAGACAGTTTTGTATTTGGGATAGAGCCGCTTGATGGTTTCAGCGCAGGAATATTGTCATGATTAACCGCTTGGGCTTGGTGACTCCTCATGACAGAAATTGGGCGGCTTCCCATCTGCATTCATTCAAAGCTGACGCTAGGTAGTTTGGGTTTGGAGCACAAGAACACCCATACTTCGTACTGGGCCTTCGTACTAGGACATCATTCACAGTCGTGAATGACGTCTTAGACAGAAAAATTGTTGCTAGAGGCATCATCGGTTCTGTGTTGGTGCTTCTACTAGAAAATGAGGCAGCCAAACAGTCACCTTACTGACCATCCCTAATTTCTCGGGCGTAACTCTGCTGACGGTTGCAGCAGGGTAATCAGTCTCGCGGGGAAGCTCGACAACGGTCCAGTCTCTGTGATCAATCAGCGCATGACTTCATCCGCCCGCTTTTCTTGTGCAGGATAAATACTATGAGGTCCTACCTGGCCAAATCCTTCCTTCCTGCTTCCTTCTTTGGGATTCTGCACCGAATCTTCCTCATTCCGCTTCGAGAGCTCCGTTCATAGTTGCTCTAATACCGGACTAATTTGAACGGCGCACTTCCCTTCCATGACGCTCGATAATCTAGTTCTAACTTTGACAACTCAGATTCCTTTTCGATTTTTCGAGTTCTTTTTCTGTGGTTAGAATGGCCACATTTTACGAGTACGCTACTAAATGTACGAGCTTTCAAATGATGTGGGAGCCCACGGCCCTCGCTTCTCATTTCTCTGTATTTCTCCATGTTTTGAATAGAAATTACCTGTTATATTGGTTTGCCAGCTGAGAAATAATGTCTGAAGGTTTCACAGGTGAATCCTAGTCACTCACAACACTGGGATGCATCTGAAAGCTCCATGAAACCAGCCTCTTAGAGCTTACAAGCCGACATCAGTTTGATCACTGATTGGATACGAACGCATGACAGACCTGCCAGACAGAAGTGATTCGCTGCAAAAACTATACGGAACTGAGCCAAAAATATCATGTGCGCCGGGCTAGTTTATACACGTCGCCGCTGTTCAGATTTCGCTCCCTGCTCCGAGGTTCAATTGCGTTTTCTGGATGCACGACCAGAAAAACAAAAAATAAAGAAGCAAAACATCACTCTGAAACTTCTACAACTTACAAACTCTTTCGTAGTGCCAGAGGATACCGAAGCTTTTTGTAGAAGTACAACCGCCATGTTCGCAGCTGTCCTAACTTCAGTGCCTTCACTTGGGAGTATACTGCATTCGAACATTGCTATATGGACCTGCGGAAGATCAACAGACGCACTCAGTAGCGGCGAAGATTCACCTGAAAGGGATAAAATGAGCTATTCAATGATCTACAGTAAAAAAAAAGAGGAATCTTCAGTAGGTCGACCCATCCCCTTTTTTAAGACGTGACAAGCACTCTTCTTCCACTCAGTATCGTAGTGGCTGTTAGAATGCGATATGGTCTGGGCAATGACTCGCGAGGCCCGACCGATATAGAGGTCAGTATTTTTATTTTCCCAGAAAAATGTGGTACCAATTAACCTGCTTCGTAGGGTAGATTGTTCGGTCTCCGGACTGCATGCGTGGTAGTGGAATATGACACTACACAACCCATGATCAAAATACTGCTTGAAAACATCAACGAACGAATAGTGAGGTGAAGTATCTTCCTTCATCTCCCACACTCTCTGAACTCGGATTTCATTCGAAAAGCAGTAACTCAAAATCCATGGTCAGACATTGTTCTGCAGCTGAGGCTGTTAGGTAGTGTTCAGACTCCGCGCCAGTAGCGTCTCAGTCGTGCGTACGATGCGATCGATTGCACGATCGATTTCGTTGGACGCGCGGCTGATTCGATCGCGCTTAAATGCTGAAACAACGCGCTCCAGCGCCGAAATTGAATGGTCGTTGCTACTTCACGATGTGTGATATCTAATCGTTGGCGGGAAAGTGGATTTTCCCTGGCTGTCAGGACGCTCGCTCCCTTTCACTTTGATCTCTTTGTGACGATGATATCCTGTGAATGGACGTCAAGTGCCCTTCGACTTACGGAGATCCTGCAATTTGCGTGCGCTTTTTGAATGTTTCGCAATTCTCAATGTCTCGTTAATTCGTGTATGCACCGTGGTCCTTGGTCTGTGTATCCCGTCGTCATTATTACGTTGCGCTACTCCCGCTACTTTTTAAACTGTTCTTTTTTACGGCCTTAAATTCTCTAAGGTCTTCTTAATGATACATTTCCTCATTGCAGAATGCGGTGTCTGCCTTTTCACGTCTGAATTGACCATGATTATTGCCACTGCAGACTTTACCGTCTTCAAAACATATTTGCATTTATTTCTACGTCGCGATGATTTCTTCTCAAGCGACCAAATGACGAAAAGGTTATTGCTCCATGCGAGGTGACTTTGGCTATATTTGTTTTTTGTTCGGCATTAAATTAGTATGAAAGAACATTTCGTAAAGGATCTGTTTTCTGCTACGCGTTCCATTTTTACATTTGCGTTTTTTTCGTTTTTTCTTCCTTGCTCCATGGTATAAGCATTGGATACGTAGAAATGACAAATGAGCCACAGGCGAGAACACGTCGCTTTGCAGTCATAAAACGAGCAGGTCTGGAGAAATCAAACAGTGAGATTGCCGGGAGTAGTCAACTTAGTGAAAGGACTCTCCGTAGCACTCATTGTAGTCGGACGTGCAATATATTACAGTACCGACTGTGTACTATTACGAATACGATAGTATTAGGATGTCCGGAAAGTTTTGAGAAAATTTCGCTGCCTCACTTTGAAAAAGCGTAGCGCGCGAAGGCCATGAGCAAATCTGTAGATCAAAACATGGAAGATAGAGGATTGTCTGTAGATCAAATCAGCAGCTGATCAATATTACATTTCGTCATTAGCCTTTGTTGTCACCAATCGAATAATGTGCGACAGACACGACACTCGACGTATCCTACTTCACCTGTACCGTTCCGGCCGCTCCGCCACTCAAGCGAGGAACGAATTGCTGTCGTCGATGGGTGGCAATGCACCCTCTCTTGCACCCTCCTCCAGGGGGTACGATCGCTTCGCAG